TCTGGTAAGCTTGATGAGGGTCTCGAACTCTTTAGCGAGATGTCTCGAAGAGGGGTGGCTGCTAATAACATAATTTACAATTCTCTCATTCAAGGATCTTGCCAGACAGGCAACCTTGATGCCGCCCAGACGCTTTTCTTCGAGATGCAATGTCACGGTCCACTTCCTGATCTAATAACTTACACGATTTTGCTTGATGGACTATGTAAAAATGGAAAACTGGATGAAGCATTGGAATTATGCTGCAAGATGGAAAAGGATGGGATGAGCCTTGATATAGTTGTATATAGTATTTTCATCCATGGCATGTGTAAGGCGGAAAAGGTTGACGAGGCATTGCAATTGTTTAATTTGCTTTCGGATAAAGGGGTGGAACCAAATGTGATAACATATAATACGATGATTTCGGGAGCTGTTGCTTTGTTCCATCAGATGGTTCGGTCTCGCCCCCTCCCTTCAATTATCGATTTCAACATGCTGTTGAGTGCCATCGCCAAGATGAAACGGTGTGATGTTGTGATTTCGCTTTGCAAATCAATGGAATTGCTCGGGATTTCACATGATTTGTGCACCTTCAATATTCTGATAAATTCTTTCTGTCGCTCACGTCAAGCGGTCTTAGGATTTTCGGTTTTGGGACAGATCATGAAGTTGGGTTACGAACCTAGTGCTGTCACATTCAACACCCTGATCAATGGGTTCTGCATCCTAGGTGAAGTTTCCGCAGCTTTAGGCTTGATGGAGCGAATGGTGGATGCGGGACTTCAACCTGATGTCGTAACATTTAACACTGTCGTTAACGGACTTTGTCTCAAGGGTAGAATTCATGAGGCAGTAACTTTGACAGAGCGGATGGTGGAAAAAGGCTCTCGACCCGATATTGTTACTTATAACACCATTTTGAATGGGATTTGCAAGCTAGGGGATTCTACTTTAGCTTTGGATTTGGTCAAGACGATGGAGGAAAGGTGCACGGTGGTCACTGTCGTAACATATAATACGATTATCGATTGTCTTTGCAAATCTGGGAACATCGACGATGCGTTGGGCGTTTTCAGTAACATGAATGGTCGAGGAATTGTATCGAATGTTATTACGTATAACACTTTGATTAATGGCCTCTGCAGTTCAGGCAGATGGAACGACGCCTCACAATTTTTGGAGGATATGATCAGAAGGAAAATCATGCCCGATGTTGTTACTTTCTCCGGATTAATCGATAAATTCATTAAAGAGGGGATGTGTCTAGAGGCTAAAGAACTGTTCGAGCTGATGCTCCAAAGAGGTTTGGTTCCAGATACGATCACTTATACTTCACTGATTGATGGGTTTTGCATGCAGAATCACCTTGATGAAGCAAGACAAATGTTTGATTCTATGGTTACCATGGGATGTTTTCCAAATGTAGTGACGTTTGGTGCTCTCATAAATGGATACTGCAAGTCTGGTACACCCTGATCAATGGGTTCTGCATCCTAGGTGAAGTTTCCGCAGCTTTAGGCTTGATGGAGCGAATGGTGGATGCGGGACTTCAACCTGATGTCGTAACATTTAACACTGTCGTTAACGGACTTTGTCTCAAGGGTAGAATTCATGAGGCAGTAACTTTGACAGAGCGGATGGTGGAAAAAGGCTCTCGACCCGATATTGTTACTTATAACACCATTTTGAATGGGATTTGCAAGCTAGGGGATTCTACTTTAGCTTTGGATTTGGTCAAGACGATGGAGGAAAGGTGCACGGTGGTCACTGTCGTAACATATAATACGATTATCGATTGTCTTTGCAAATCTGGGAACATCGACGATGCGTTGGGCGTTTTCAGTAACATGAATGGTCGAGGAATTGTATCGAATGTTATTACGTATAACACTTTGATTAATGGCCTCTGCAGTTCAGGCAGATGGAACGACGCCTCACAATTTTTGAAGGATATGATCAGAAGGAAAATCATGCCCGATGTTGTTACTTTCTCCGGATTAATCGATAAATTCATTAAAGAGGGGATGTGTCTAGAGGCTAAAGAACTGTTCGAGCTGATGCTCCAAAGAGGTTTGGTTCCAGATACGATCACTTATACTTCACTGATTGATGGGTTTTGCATGCAGAATCACCTTGATGAAGCAAGACAAATGTTTGATTCTATGGTTACCATGGGATGTTTTCCAAATGTAGTGACGTTTGGTGCTCTCATAAATGGATATTGCAAGTCTGGTAAGCTTGATGAGGGTCTCGAACTCTTTAGCGAGATGTCTCGAAGAGGGGTGGCTGCTAATAACATAATTTACAATTCTCTCATTCAAGGATCTTGCCAGACAGGCAACCTTGATGCCGCCCAGACGCTTTTCTTCGAGATGCAATGTCACGGTCCACTTCCTGATCTAATAACTTACACGATTTTGCTTGATGGACTATGTAAAAATGGAAAACTGGATGAAGCATTGGAATTATGCTGCAAGATGGAAAAGGATGGGATGAGCCTTGATATAGTTGTATATAGTATTTTCATCCATGGCATGTGTAAGGCGGAAAAGGTTGACGAGGCATTGCAATTGTTTAATTTGCTTTCGGATAAAGGGATGGAACCAAATGTGATAACATATAATACGATGATTTCGGGACTCTGTCGGAGAGGTTTATTTGGTGAAGCCGAGAAGTTATTTAGTGAGATGAAAGAGACTGGTTGTTTGCCGAATGATCGTACATACAACACATTAATCCAGGGTTATCTAAATCACGGATACACGTTAAAGGGTATCAAACTTATAAAAGAAAAGAAGAGATGCGGGTTCTGTGGAGATGCGTCAACGATAAAGATTGTGGTAGATATGCTATGTGACGGTAGGTTGGACAAAGAGTTTTTGGGTTCTCTTTGATAACTGACCTTGCTTCCTGTGATGGCAATCATCTGAGTACGAGGTGGGTTGTTTTTTTCTGGCCTATAGATTTGGATGTGTTAGTTTGGATTTGGATATCAAATGCGTTGAGACCTTCAAGGAGCTCCAATCTGATCGTTCTTTGGATGATTTGCAGACAGCCCGGTAAGGTTATGAGGAAAGATGAGATGGAGTGCCAACGTCATCTTTGATGCAGAAGTCAACTTAACAAAGTCTTCTTGCTGAGGAAAACGTCACAATAAGGTTACCATGAAACCTACTCTGGTTGCATCAATCATTCTACAGATCATTTTCTCATGTTTGTCTCACGATGAAGCTGAATTTATAAGGTAATGTCTGTTCTGTTTTTCATTGTTTGGTCCAATATAAAGAAAACATTCGTAATGTAATTTCTGAAATAGATCTGTTCCTTACCATATGGTCTCTTGTTTAATCATATATGTTACTTTAAAAATCGTTCCATCCTTTGCCTATTCTTAGCTTTGTTTTCTTATTTTATGATATTGTTGTGATAAAATTGTGCTAGACATGCATTTGATTTGAATTCAGCGAGTAAGAGTGTGTTCCTTTTTGGTAAGGGACAACTGCTAATGTTCTTGTAATGGATCTCTGATCACTTCATCATGTCTTCTTTTTGGTGACTCGGAGGAAGTCAACTTCTTGCTGTAGAAAACATCATCACACATAGGGTTTGCATCGTGAGTTACAAATAATGGCTTTGTATTAATAAAACCATCAAAATTTATGCAAATTAAATTGTCGTTTCAAAAGGATTCCTTCACGTAAAATAAAACTAAATATCATGCAATTGTTTTTTGTAATGTTCTATGGAGTTTAGAATCAATGCCCAAATAAGTCTACTTAAAAGGCCCAATGGATGTACTATATATATATATATATAAATTGCAACTCTTTTTGGTTTGCATTAATATCCAAACAAAGTATCATAAGCTTTTAATTTCCATATTTTTGTCTTTCAATGTGTAAGAGGAGATTTAACTAACAGAGACAAACCGGTCTTCCTGTTGCGTTGGGTTTGATCTGCTTATCCTTCAGTTAACGCTCTGATGGGGTCGATGATGCATTGGTCCGATCTGACACCAACTAAAACTCGTCTCTTGGTTTTGTACTATTGGTTCTTCGGCAAAGCTGGGCGATGGATGCAAACTATATCCTTCTAGCCACATCTTTGGGAACACAAAATTGGGGGATTCTTGCGTCCTTATGACGTAGGCCGGTTTTGCTCTTCTGACCGGTGGTATATGGTATTTCCTCTCAATTTTTTAACGTTGTTCTGGTGTGTGTGTGTGTGTGTATATGCCTTGATTTTTGTCAGCCAGTGGTGCTGTTGTTGATGATGATGATCTTCCCGAGTTATAGGGTATATCAACGTTATTGGTCACCATGCTGTGGTTGGTCTTAAATGCCAAGACATGAAATACAAGTGATCAGAAAATGATAACTTGTCATATTCCGTGTTACGGGTACTCTGCTTAAGAGTTGAGACCAATTCAAAATCCTGTGTACTGATCTGGAGTCTGCACGTTTTGTTTTACTTTTCAGGCCGGGGATAATTGCTTTCTTCACATTGGTAATAACAATGAGATCAGAGAGTTCTGTTCGATTCACAGATCATCAAAGTCCACCGATGCTGGTTATTGACCGATATGAGCAAAATCTCTAGTCTTTATGAAGTGTGTTCTTACAGTCTCTTTGTGGAACAGGTCATTGGTGAGAACAATCTAATAATGGGTTCTTGCCATATACTGCTCATGATTGCAAGATCGGTGACAACAACACTCTTCTTGCAGGCCATGTGGTCGTAGAGGTTCACCAGTTTTGCCACATTGGTTCTTTCTCTTGCATCAGTGGTGGTTCAGTGGTATGTCCTTTCTCAGAGCTCTCAGTTGCAATGTGCCTTTCCTCACACAACGAGAACTCTTATCGGGTTTTCTGCATAGAAAGTGGAATGCAAAGTTCCGGGCATGAAATGAAACCATTTTTTTCCTTTGTTGTCTGAATTATAGGTTTCACAAGATGTGCCAAAGTACATGATGGTGACCGGAGAAAGTTCAGAAATTCGGGATCTGAATCTGGAAGGAATTCCGAGCAGTGGATTCACAATTTCAGAGGTATTGTAGAAGTAACAAGTTATTATGTTATCACTTTTCAAGTGTTTTAAAAAATAAAGAATCGGTTTATTTTGGGTGGATGGCAGACCAGAAGTCTGAAAAGGGCGTATCGTAAAATATTCATATCCAGCGATGCCGTTTCTTTGGGTATGGAGGAGCGTCTGGCCAAGACGGTACTTGATTACCAGACTCTTCAAACTGTTCTTTTTTTTTTTGCATTAGAGGGAAACCCCACCTGAACTTGATTATTTAGAGATGTCGCAGGAACAAGGCAGAGATTTGTACAGAGTTCCCGTGGTGCGGGAAAATGGTGCAGTCATCTGGGGTTCTTTCTCTGAAAACCGTCGCGGGATCTCCAAGTTGAGGCACTGGTTGGGTTCTTGGGTTTCACTGCTTATGTCTTCTCAGTGTTACTATCAACGCGTTTATGGTTTCTCGAAAGACAGCAAACATGTGTTGTTGTGTATACATAGACATATCCCCCTGTTTTCTTTTTTTAGAACGAAAAACTTAGTTTTGTTCAAAAGAATCCATATCCAAAAAATATATGGAATTTTCGCTAATGAATTCCATCTAAAACCGTTTCATTTAATAAAAACAATTACCCAAATTATTCTTCTTAGAATATTTATAATGTTTCGTAAAACTGGTCAATATGATATGGACTATAATATACTAAACAAGTTAAAATAATTATAATGCTTTGTGTTTGTGATTAAAAAATATATGTATTAAAGGAATATTTTTACAGCTTAACATAATTAAGGAAAAAACCAGAAAACAGAACAATCCCAACTCCCAAGGACCGACTGCTCGCTCTAGGGTTCGCGAAAGCAGATTTGATATAATCCATGTGTTTTTAAATCTTTGGCCCATTTTCCATAAAATTAGCAAAAGCAGATTTGCCATTTCCTTCAGTCTTCTGCTCACTCCGATGTCGGCGATGGTTCGGAGAGTGGCTGCCGTTGCATTGCCTTCTGCATCATGTTCCATTCGTACTCCTCTCTCTCACAGAGGTATACCCGACACAGTCTTACGCTGTTCCTCTGCTTTAAGTTGTCGGAGATTGGTTTATTCTGGCGTTAGAGACAGCGGTATGTCGTTCAGAGAGAGATTGAGACATGGGTTTGCTTATAGTAATGTGGATGAAGCTGTTGCTTTGTTCCATCTGATGGTTATGTCTCGCCCCCTCGCTTGTATTATCGATTTCAACATGTTGTTGAGTGCCATCGCCAAGATGAAACGGTATGGTGTTGTGATTTCGCTGTGCAAATCAATGGAATTGGTCGGGATTTCACATGATCTCTACACTTTGAGCATTCTGATCAACTGTTTTTGTCGCTCACGTCAAGCGGTCTTGGGATTTTCGATTTTTGGAAAGATAATGAAGTCGGGTTACGAGCCTAATACTGTCACATTCAGTACACTAATCAATGGATTCTGCATCATCGGTGAAGTTTCCGCAGCATTAGACTTGATGGAGCGAATGGTGGATGTAGGACTTCAGCCTAATGTTGTAACATTTAACACTCTCGTTAACGGATTTTGCCTCAAGGGTAGAATTCACGAGACAGTAACTTTGACTGATCAGATGATCTCTACAACTTCAATATTCTGGTCAACTGTTTCTGCCGTTCAAGTCAAGTGATCTCAGGATTTTCGGTTTTGGGAAAGATCATGAAGTTGGGTTACAAACCTAGTGCTGTTACATTCATGGATTGTGCATGGCTGAGAAGATTGATGAAGCATTGCAGTTATTTAATCTACCCCTAATATTTTTTTTTCTTCTTGTAAAGAGCAAGATAAGATCACACCGGTCATAAAAATAGAGTTTATATTCAAAATTGATGCAAATCATATTGTCATTTCAAAAGTATTTATTTATGTAAATAAGAAGCCTAAAAATTCTACAAAACTAAGTATCATGCAATTGTTTTTTTTTTTAAAAAAATTCCTATGGGAGTTTAGAATCAATGCATAAAAGCGGTAGGAAGATTAAAAATTGGTATAGGTAGTTGGATCTTCTTTGGTATTTTTGTCAATTAAAAACCAAATTTTTATAGAGCCCCAAATCCATATACCCAAAAAAAATTTGCAACTCTTTTTCCTTGTCATATTTTTGTTTTCCAGTGGTAATTTGTAATTTCAACATTAAGTTTGGAGAGATTGAAAAATCATACATTTCGCATCGACTGTAATATGTCGTAACGAGAATCCAAAATCTCATAAAATAAGCTTTCGTTTTCCTAAATTAAGACAATAGTTATATATAAATAAACTTAAATTATTCTCACGTCAGTCGTACTATAATTATTCTGACTGTTGTTCTTGGCGGGGTTTCGCTTAAATTCTTATAATGCCAACTGGCAGACAGACTCTCTGTGTTTTTATATTCGCAACAGGAAAACAAGACCAAGAGTTACCGTCATAAATGAAAATAAATCAGAAAATTCGCATTAAATTTAACTTTACTGAGCTTATAAAATCTTCGGCCCATTTCCTTCGGCCTTTAGCTCCAAACGGTTTGGGCTTCCTTCTTCTCACCGTTCGTTCTAGGGTTCGTATCGGAAGCAAAGCAGTTCGCCATTTCATGTATTTCGGCACACTAACAGACTCCTTTCCTCAAATCCGTGCTAGGTTTCTCTCTGTTCGTTCTGAAGCTTCACGATGTCGCCGGTGGTTCGGAGAGTGGCTGTCGTTGCATTGTCTTCTGCATCATGCTTCATTCGTACTCCTCTCTCTCACAAAGGTATTTCCGATGCAGTCTTACGTTGTTCCTCTGTTTTATGCTGTCGGAGAATGGCTTACTCTAGTGTTAGAGACAGCGATATGTCGTTCAGAGAGAGCTTGAGATGTGGGTTTGCTGACAGTAATGTCCACGAAGCTGTTGCTTTGTTCCATCAGATGGTTCGGTCTCGCCCCCTCCCTTCAATTATCGATTTCAACATGTTGTTGAGTGCCATTGCCAAGATGAAACGGTATGATGTTGTGATTTCGCTGTGCAAATCAATGGAATTGGTCGGGATTTCACATGATCTCTACACTTTGAGCATTCTGATCAACTGTTTTTGTCGCTCACGTCAAACGGTGTTGGGATTTTCGGTTTTTGGAAAGATCATGAAGTCGGGTTTCGAGCCTAGTGCTGTCACATTCAACACCCTGATCAATGGGTTCTGCATCCTCGGTGAAGTTTCTGCAGCTTTAGATTTGATGGAGCGAATGGTGGAGGCGGGACATAAATGTGATGTCGTAACATTTAACACTGTCGTCAACGGACTTTGTCTCAAGGGTAGAATTCACGAGGCAGTAACTTTGACTGAGCGGATGGTAGAGAAAGGCTCTCAACCCAATATTTTGACATATAACACCATTTTGAACGGGATTTGCAAAGTAGGGGATTATGCTTTAGCTTTGGATTTGGTCAAGACGATGGAGGAAGGGTGCATGATGGTCGATGTCATAACATATAATACGATTATCGATTGTCTTTGCAAATCTGGGAACATAGACGATGCGTTGGGCGTTTTCAGTAAGATGGATGATCGAGGAGTTGTATCGGATGTCATTACGTATACCACTTTGATAAACGGGCTCTGTAGTTTAGGTAGATGGAATGATGCCTCACAATTATTGAAGGATATGATGAGAAGGAAAATCATGCCTGATGTTGTTACTTTCAACGGATTAATCGATAAATTCATTAAAGAGGGCATGTTTCTAGAGGCTAAAGAACTGTACGAACGTATGCTCCAGAGAGGTTTGGTACCTGATACGGTCACTTATAATTCACTGATTGATGGGTTTTGCATGCAGAATCGTCTTGATGAAGCAAGACAAATGTTTGATTCTGTGGTTACCATGGGATGTTTTCCAGATGTAGTGATGTTTGGTGCTCTCATAAATGGATACTGCAAGTCTGGTAAGCTTGATGAGGGTCTCGAGCTCTTTAGCGAGATGTCTCGGAGAGGGGTGGCTGCTGATAACATAATTTACAATTCTCTCATTCAAGGATCTTGCCAGGGAGGCAACATTGATGCCGCTCAAACGCTTTTCTTCGAGATGCAGCGTCGCGGTCCCCAGCCTAATCTAATGACTCACAAGATTTTGCTTGATGGGCTGTTTAAAAATGGAAAACTGGAAGAAGCATTGGAATTATATGACAAGATGGAAAAGGATGGGATGAGCCTTGATATAGTTGTACACAATATTATCATTCATGGCATGTGTAAGGCGGAAAAGATTGACGAGGCATTACAGTTGTTTAATTTGCTTTCGGTTAAAGGGGTGGAACCAGATGTGATAACATATAATACGATGATTTCGGGACTTTGTCGGAGAGGTTTATTTGGTGAAGCCGAAAAGCTATTTAGTGTGATGAAAGGGGCTGGTTGTTTGCCGAATGATCGTACATACAACGCATTGATCCAGGGTTATCTAAATCACGGATACACGTTAAAGGGTATCGAACTTATAAAAGAAAAGATGAGATGCGGGTTCTCTGCAGATGCGTCAATGACAAAGATTGTGGTAGATATGCTATGTGATGGTAGGTTGGACAAAGAGTTTTTGGGTTCTCTTTGATAACGGACTTTGGTTCCTGTGGTGGCAATCATCTGAATAGGAGGTGGGTTGTTTTTTCTGGCCTACTCTGGTTGCATCAATCATTCTACTGATCACTTTCTCATCTTTGTCTCATGATGAAGCTGAATTTTAAAGGTAACGTCTGTTCTGTCTTTCATCGTTTGGTCCAAATTAAAAGAAAACATTTGTGCTGTCATTTCTGAAATAGATCTGTTCCTTGTCATATGTTCTCCTGTTTAATCGTATGGGCTACTTCAAAATTGTTCCATCCTATTCCTATTCTTAGCTTTGTTTTCTTATTTTATGATATTGTTGTGATAAAATTGTGCTAGACATGCATTTGATTTGAATTCAGCTGAGTAAGAGTGTGTTCCTTTTTGGTAAGGGACAACTGCTAATGTTCTTGTAATGGATCTGATCACTTCATCATGTCTTCTTTTTGGTGACACAGAGGAAGTCAACTTCTTGCTGTAGAAAACGTCATCACACGTAGGGTTTGCATCGTGAATTACAAATAATGGCTTTGTATTAATAAAACCATCAAAATTTATGCAAATTAAA